TAATTATTGTTTTACCCATAAAAGTTGTGCACAATTTTTGGAACAACATAATCAGTTTCAGTAGTTGATAAGGAACTTTTGCTAATGTATATTTGTTCCTTTCTCATTTTGGATGATTTACAACCCTAAAAAGTAATTCAGTTTTCCCATTATGCTCATTTTGAACTCTTTACTCTTAAAGCTACAAACTCTTCACACAAACGAAAAATTATATCATCAACATAAACTTATATTACTAATGAATCATTACCTTTAACTTTCAAAAATATAGTTTTATATACCTTTTTCGCATTGGAACTCATTACATAGGAAAAATTTAAATAACATTTACTACAATGCGCTTGGGGTTTACTATAATCCATACAAGGCTTTATCAAATTTATACACATAATATCCAATTGTAGGTTCCTCAAAATTTGGAAGTTACTTAACATAGACTTCTAATGGTCCCGGATGAACTCAAGAGGGGGTGAATTAAGTTTTATAAAAGTAATTTGATAATTAAAAATTAACTCAAAGCAATAAATCAAGATAAGGATAGAAAGATATTGACACAGTAGTTTTATGTGGAAAACCCAAAAGGGAGAAAAACCACGGCCCTAATATCGAATATTTAAATTCGACGGACAACTCTACTGTGAAACTTGTGTACAAGGAGTTCTCTAGTATCTTAGTTCCTAGTCTACCTCTTACACAAATTTCCAACTGGTATCCTAGTTTCCCAATACGAAGCCCTAACCCTTTAGGATTCTGAAACCTATCACACAAGGGTTCTCAAGTTACTCTCAATTTCCAAAGAAAAGAGATATGTTGGTATCAATGTTTTCCAGTACAAACCTTCAAAAAGGTCGAAAAGAAAATTACAATTAAAGTGATTTACTTCAGTGCTTCTTTTCCCCAAGCAGATAGGTAATATGAATTCCTATGGAGAAACATTCACTTTGCCAAAAGATGAATGTATGAATGAATGTTCTTTAGAAAGCTTTTCAATTAATGAACAAGAATAAATCTTAATCTTGAAAATCTAATTCTTTCTTTTCTCTATTGTATATTCTTCTCTCATTAATATTGTATTTTCTTCTCTCGTGAATAATATGCAATAAGCTCTATTTATAATAATAACATTTTCTCTCTCCTAAAAGCTCAAAAAAAATATATTAAAATTTGAAATCTTTTCTAAAAACTAACTAGAAATTTTTTACCCTTAATTAAAATTATAAATACAATTTTCAAAAATAAGATTTTTGATTTTTAAAATAAAAAATGTGTAAAGCTTAAATATTTTATTATATTATGTAATGTAATTCTAATATAAATTTTTGACAAAGAATATTTTATTTCTCTTACATGAAATCTAAAAAGATAAAATATATCATAAACTTTACTTAATCCCATGCTTTTCTCTCTCTTCATGCAATCTTCAATTATCTTGAATACTAATTCAAATCAGGATAAATATTATTTTGAAATCTCAAACAATCAGTTCATTAGTAATTTCAAGATAATAAATTATTATCAATTAAATTAATATTAAATTGATTGTAATCATCAAAATATATTTTAAATCAATTAAACAATTGGGGTATAACAAATATCCAACAATTTCCCCTTTTTGATGATGACAAATAATTTATGCCATGTACCAAGAAAAAATCACAAATATAACATGAATATTCAATCATGATTGCATGAATACTATTTCACTTGTTAGATGGTTTTGGTGAAATGAAGAATGAGCTTAAGAACTTCTTTAAGGCTAACAAAGATCTGAATAGATCAAATGATAGTCTTGAGGAGGAAATCATTAGGCCTAAGAACATTACTTTTGAACTAGAAAGCAATAATGCCTCTTTGATAGAGAAATTGCAAGAAACTAAGAAAAATGAATGTGTTGTAATAAATGTGTTGTAATAAGTGATACTCAAGTGGATAAAGAGATTAAGCGATTGGAGGGCAAGGTAAAAGAAATGACTAAAGAGAAACAAAACCTCCAAACTAGGTTAGAAACTTCCCTTAGGATTCAAGAGGAAGATAAACCCATTGTTGTTGGTTGGTTAAACAAGAATTGCAATAAATCTAAGTATGGGTTAGGATTTGAATAAAATAAGAAAACTCCTTGGAAAACAAAAACTAAGCATGTAGATGTGTATGAGAAAAGAGTATGTTTTCGTTGTGGTAATATAGGACATTTGAAATATGATTGCATGGCTAGATTCAATGCTTATGAAAAGAATATCTCATACATTAAAAATAAAAATTCTATTTTTGCATGCAAAGTAAAACAAATCTGGATTAGAAAAAGATGAGCTTTCTAATTTTGTTGCAAAGAGAAAGGGACCCAAGCTAGTCTGGGTTCCCAAACCTAACAAGTGAATTTAATAATGAAGGTTGGAGTGAGGGGGAACAATTCATAGTACCTTGACAATGGTTGTTCTAAGAATATGTCAAGAGATGTTTTCAGATTTTTCTCACTCTATCATTCCAATATAGATGTGTGACTTTTGCTGACAAATACAAAGGTAAAATTATGAGCATAAGTGAAATTGATAAGTAGCCTACACTCTCCATTGATAATGTTTATTATGTCAAGAGCTTGTGTGCATAAAGTTAAGTTGAAAATCATTGTTGCACATGAGCTTAAGGAATGTTGATTACTCTATTTTTAGATAACATACTTTAACTTGTTATATCTTGAGTTTTAGAACTCCAATTTCAGTGATTTATACTCTGTTGGAAAGCTTGAGATGTGTACTATAATATAAAAAAATAATTGAGAACCTTTTTCCTCTTCAAATGATTGGCTAGTTTTGATGATAGATAAAGATCTCTTGATATTTGTTGACTTATTTTCTTCTTTACTACCATATTCAATTGTATTTGCCTCACCATTCACTTCACATGATTTCTTGTTAAATGCATTTTGAAGTGTATATTTTAACTTTGTGGTGTTTGTTATGTTTGTGAGGATATATATCTATGTGTGACTTTCTTTGTGAGGAAGCAATCTACAACTTGTATGAGTGAAGCTCAAGGCTCGCTAGTTAGGATGTTTCATGAGTAACTAAAAAGGATATAGGCCTTCTTTGGTCGTTTGAGCTTTTCAAGTCAACCTTAACAGTAATTTTTATCTCTAGTTATCCTATTTGAGCCTTAAGCTTATTTTTTTTATTAAATTTTATATGGAGCCCCTTGTGTTTTGATTGTTAGAAACTTTTTTGATGTATATGTATGCATAGTTTCTAGATTAAGTGGATGAATTGTTATAGTACAAAAGAAAAGTACATATGGGGAATGAGAAAAAAAAGGAATGTAAATGTGAATGAGAAAAAGAAAGAAAATTGAGAAAGTGAGAAATAGAAAAAGAAAAAGGAATGCAAAAAAAAGGAATATAAAACTCAGAGGGAATAAGTTTCATTTGAGTTTCAAAGTAAAAAATTCGATTTTTGAGTGTTAGTCATATGAAAATGGAAACTTAGAAAAGTAGAAAAAGAAAAAGAAATCTTTATGATGAAAAACAGTATTGAGAATATCAAAAGATAAGATTTAGGGACTATGCATAACTGTACTATCCCTTCTTTATTTTCTATCTACCCTGATACTATTTTGTTTTCGTTCATATCCACCTGTTACATTATAAGCTTTAAAGTCATATTGGTTTGATAGCTTATGAAACATTCCAACACTGAGAGTGGAGAGCAGTCATGAGGTACAAGCCTATGAAAAGCTTAGAGAATAAGAAACACGAGTGATTCTAAAGTTGAGGCAAAGACAAATTACTGGATTGTTATTGTATATGCTTTGGAATGTTTTCCTTTGTTGCCTTTCATAATCTTCTATATTCTTATTCTTCAATGTTTTTCACTATTGAACTATTACTCCTTATTTATGCTACCTTGACATCTTTTCTTCCTTATCTTGAGTGTTTACTTTTCATTTTTTCGATGATGCCAAAAGGGAAAAAATGGATGCCATATTTTGTGATTTATAAATTCTAGTTGTAGCTTAGCAAAGTCAAGGGGAATAATGTTCATGAAATCATGATTAAGCATTCATGTTATATCTGTGATGAATTAGTTTTTCTTGATACATGGCATAAATTATTTATCATCATCAAAAATATATTTTAAATCAATTAAATAATTGGGGTATAACAAATATCCAACAACAACTTCTTAAAGTAGACTATTTAAGCATATGATCTTTATATCAATTTGAAAGAGCTTAAATCCCATGTAAAAGACATATGCAATGATAATTCTTATGGCCTTCATCTAGCCATTGGTGCAAAAGTTTCCCCATAATCTCTTGTTAATAAATATTTTATTCTAATGTTGAATATTAAGTTTGATTTTTTTTAGTTGATATATTTTTATTAATAATTATAAAAATATCACATTATTTTTTTATTTTCAATTCTTTAAGAAATTTTAATTTCTTTAAAAAAATAACGTAATCTGATTTTTATCATTTTCTTCACAACATCTTATCAACAAAAAAATTATATAATAAGCTTATTTTTTTGTAAGTACAAGTATTATTAAAAAATAAAAACTAAAATTTCTTTAAGCTGCATTTTTTTTTTTTAATTCAGTTAAGTATTTTCATAAATAATAGTAAAAAATATATTTTTATTTTTAAAATCTTATAAAAAAAATAATAGAAATAAAAAAAATTAAAAAACTACACTTTTATGTTTTATGATTTTTTTCGGTCAAAATATTTTTATTAACATTTTAGGTGCTTTTATTTTTTTATGATTTTTTTTTATTACATATTTGTGTTTTACGTTTTTTATCCCACTCCAAGTAAAAACTCGATTCTCAACCGAGGACAAAAAAGAAGAGCAAGCAGGGACTAAACGACCACTAGTCGAATAAGAGAAACGGCAACAAATATGTCCCGCATGTTGTCGTGTCGTCAGCGCAAGCAAACGACGAAAAGTCACAAAACCCTCTCTTACTCACTCTTGTTGAGACTTTGTAATGCTCGGTAGCACTTAATAACAGTAGCAGCAGCAACGTGCTTTTTGTGTTCCCGCACTTACCTTATCTTATCATTTTCCTTCCCACACACTCACTCACTGCTCCCAAATGGCGAACGAATCAGACTCAGACTCGGAAACCGACTCGGACTACTCCTCTTACGACGGCGAGCCAGCTGAAGACGGCGATTTCCGCCGCGCGTTTCGCATCCGTCGAAGCGGCGATCCTCTTCCCGAGAAGAAGACCGACCCGGAGACCACCTTCAAGGAGTTCGCGCAAGTGCTAGATAGCCCCATCGTGCAGAGTATACATGAAGAAGAAGACGAAGATTTTTTGGAAGAAGAAAACCCATTTGACTTCCCTGAAGACCCTGAGAAATGGACCGAAGAGGATTTGGAGGAGATTTGGGCTGATGGACCCAATGAAATTGGTGGAACTGGTTGGGACCCATTTTGGGTTGAAGAAGATGAGTGGGAGTATGTGCAGAATGAGATTGCTGAGGGAAGAACACCACCCATTGCTCCCTTCTATCTTCCTTATAGGAAGCATTACCCTGCTATCCCTGATAACCATTTCGATATTTCTAACCCCAAAGCTGCCATTGAAGAATTGGATAGGATTGAGGAGTTTCTCAAATGGGTCAGCTGGATTTTCGAAGATGGAAGCTCGTATGTTTGTATTTGTATATTCATTCTTCATGCTAGATCTTTTTGTTGTTTTTGTTTTTTGTTTTTTATTTGATTGATATTTTCTTTGTTCCAAACTTTTCAGGTATGAAGGCACTGTTTGGGATGACTATGCTCATGGAAAAGGTGTTTGGTCTTCCGAAGACAGGCTTGTCAGGTTTGTCTTTGCTTGATTATGGCGATTGGTTGGTGTTGTTACTTAGACTTGTACAGATTTAAGTTATATTGGCAGTGACAAACTTGAACAAGAATTAATTCTTGTAATAAGCACATAATCTAGGCCTTTGAAGAGGTTTTGATACTATCTAAATGAATTTATTATCCTACATTGTCAATCTCTTAGTCAGAGAGGGGGAGAACAAATGTTGAAATTGACAATGAAAATAATTTAAATGTGTTGTATTCGGCATGTAACTTGGATAGGTCTTGCAATTTTCCATTGCGGTTAAATAGTTTTTCCAAGTGCATGGACTATCATAAAAAACGTGACAAAACTGGAATAAAGTGAGACAAACCCTTATTAGTTCAGTACTGTCTTTCTGTTGGCAACAACAGATTATACAAAACTATTGTTACAGAATGAGAGGCATTTGTTCCTTTCCCCCCTTGAGTTCATACTGAATCAGTTGGCCATATATGTTTAATGTTCTGGCATTCTCCTGGTAGTTGTTGGGGTCTTTGATTCTTTCTATTTCAACTAGTGTCAGTATCTTCTTGTCTTCCCCCTTTAGATTTATCAGCTCATCATTTCTTGATATGTAGTATATCATGCAACTTCTTTTTTATGTCATATTGTCATTCATATTTCACAATGTATTTTCTTTTCGTAGGTATGAAGGTGAATGGCTTCAAAACGACCCAGAGGGTCATGGTGTAGTTGAAGTTGATATACCTGTTATAGAGCCCGCTCCTGGTTCCAAGTATGTACCTTATTTCAAAATGCCCCCAATATGTGTCAATGAAGTCTCAGATTGTGTCAAATTTTGATTATCATTCAATTTCTTGTAATCAAACCTGGACTGCTTTTATCCATACCCTCAGGCTTGAAGCAAAGATGCGCGCTGAAGGAAAGATAATAGCAAGGGATTTTATGTCCCCAGAAGACAGAAAATGGCTTGAAATGGATATTGAAGATAGTTATCTTCTAGCAGATGGAAACTATGAAATCCCTTTTTATGAGAGTGAAGAATGGGTTAGGCTTTTTGGAAGAAAGCCGTAAGTTTATTTATTGATCTTTTTGTAGCCTTTTTTCTATATTTATCTTTTTGGTATATGAGACATTGCAACTCCTCACCCTAGATATGACATTTCTCTGCATTGTCTCTGTATATATCTCTCCACCTCTGGTACATTATTACTGGTCTAAAAAGACGGTTTTATTATTATATTTTATGCCCAGGGAGAAAGGTCGCTATCGTTATGCTGGTCAGTGGAAGCATGGGAGGTTTCATGGATGTGGCGTGTACCAAGTGAATGAGCGTACAACATATGTAGGTGCATGGATCAGACCAAGTTTTGTGTTTCAACTTTTTAACTCCAATTGACCTCTTTCTTTTCATATTTTTCATAATTGGGGAGAGAAAGCTGAACTTTGAAAATGAAAATAATTGCGTTAATAACATATGATTTGCTTTAGCTTCCTGGATATCGTCCTACATTCCTTATGTTTATTGAGATCTTTATTTTTAACTCTAAATACTGCAATTTTAAGTTGAAGTTGTACTATCTGCATTATTTGGTTGAACCTTGCAATTAAATGCGAAGGGAGGAAAATGCAAGTCATCTCTGCATAATGGCCAATGGCATTTTCATTACAACATCACACTTGAATTACGTAGAAGACCTATTTTCTTTCCTAGTTACAAAGTCTGTGTGCATGCAGGGTAGATTTTATTTTGGAGAATTGTTGGATGATTTTGAGGGATGCGATGACGAAACTGCAGGGGTACTAAGCACTCTTTTCATAAATTTTTTCACCTTTGCAAAAAAATTAAAAAACTAGGAGCTGTGGCAAAATCTCGATCTTTCTGACATTCTGTCAATTTCAGCTGCATGCTGGTATAGCAGAAGTTGCTGCTGGAAAGGCTCGCATGTTTGTGAACAAGCCAGATGGAAGTATGCTGTTTTACCTCTTTAAAACTTAATTGAAACCTTATATTCATTTTTATTTTTTTTGGGGGGTGGGGTGTTCCTGACTTTCAGTTTGGCCATTTATCTGGTTGCTAGATCTTGTAAATATGTATTATGGATTTAGGAATAAAGGTTAGTTCTGTTTTCTTCTTCCTCCTACATCTCCTTACCGTGCCCATTTAGACTTTTTAAAACTGGATAAGATTTAAGAACACTCATCACCAGTTTTCTTTCCTACTTTGTGGCTTTGACTCCACAAATGTGTACATGATTGGATTAGCCTCTCTGCCCTTTGACAATTTCTCATCAAGTAAGCATGGTCTGGCATGCATATTGATTCTTGGCATACTGGTAGAGTCTTTCTCCTTTCACTATGCGGTGGAAAATTTATATCTGTGCTACTTTGGATTGAAAATTAATTATTGTTCTTTTTTTCCTTTCCTGATTGGAGCCATGCTGATTGTATCTTGCTAATTGTTACTAACCATTTAACACTTGGTCTGTGCAGTGGTTAGAGAAGAGAGAGGTCCATATAGTGATCCGCAGCATCCTTACTTTTATGAAGAAGAGGATGTGTGGATGGCGCCTGGTTTCATTAACCAGTTTTATGAAGTAAGGCTCACTGGAAAAGTTTTACTGTAATACATTGCTTATTTTCATTTTATGTAAGGAAATGAAACATGGATATGATTCTGTTGCAGGTCCCTGATTACTGGAAAACATATGTGCATGAAGTAGATGAGGAAAGAGAAATGTGGTTGAACTCTTTCTATAAAGCTCCTCTTAGGTTACCCATGCCAGCTGAGCTTGAGTACTGGTGGTCAAAGGGTATTTATTCTTTCTATTTTTCTGTGTGAACTAGTACATAGCTGATATAACTTTTATCATCCTCTCCCATCTGCCAATGAGGTATTAACTCATCCTCCAAATCCTTGATCAGCTGAGAATCATGAGACTCCTGAATTTGTCCTTATTAACAAGGAACCAGAGCCTGATCCTGAAGATCCGTCACAGCTTATATATACTGAGCCTCCTGTCATCCTCCACACACCAACAGGGCATATTATCAATTATGTTGAGGATGAGAAATATGGGTTACGATTATTCTGGCAACCTCCTTTGGAAAAGGGTGAGGATGTGGACCCAGAAAAGGCCCAATTCCTACCCCTTGGTTATGATGAGTTTTTCGGAAAAGATACTGTGGTTAAAAACGAGAGCATATGGATGCGTATTATACTTGCGCTTGAAAATGCTTGCAACCCATGGTTTGATAAACTTGAGAAATGGACAGAAGAGCAGAAGAAAAATAGTGAATTGAGAAAGAAGGCAATTGAGCAAGAACTTGAACTGATAGAAGCTGAATTGTGTCTGGAAGAGGCCATTGAGGATATGGAAGAGTTGTTGCAGAGAAGGGAGAAAGAAGAGCAAAAGAAGGTGGAAATGGGCTTTCCAGATGAAGATGATACGACTCCTGTAACCAAACAAGATGAAAAAGCTCCTGCAGAGGAGGAGGAGGAGGAAGAGGAAGAGGAAGGCGATGAGGAAAACGAGGATGATAATGCACAATCAAGTTTTGGGTCTGTTGACCAGAAACAGACAACAGATCAGCAGAAGGGAAAACCTGGGAAATCACCATTTTCTACATCTTCACTTGCATTTGCTTCTAGCAGCCTTATCTATGCGGTGAGTTATGATTCCTAACTTTCATTTGATGCATGTTTTTTCCGTATGACTGTATCTTACGTGGCTACACATGATCAAAACTGAAACAATGATTCGAGTATTCTTGAGTTTTATGCTTTCTCATGTATATCAGGTGCCAATGAATAATCAGAGAATTGTACTTTTCATCTCACAACATCAAATTTGAATTTACTCCCTTTCACCATCATTGAGCAATTTTAATGGAGTTTTAAAACAGTTTTTATGCTTCTGATTCTTGTATTATTCTTTGATTGAACAATTTAAAAATTAGCTGATAGGTTATTTGACTTATCTCATTAGATACTACATATATGTAAATTGTAATGAGTTCTATTTGCCATTCAGTTGGAAGACTTAAATCCTGTTTTTAATATGTGTCGTGGGAAATCAGGGAATTATAAGTATCGAAGTATAAAAACAACTGGTACCCTAACTTTTGTAAATATTGCTCATAATTTACAATTTTAAAGAACCAGATGAAGTATGATGAAGAATATTAGTTATGGATCCTATTTGTTGCAATATGACTCAAATGTATCCACCAAATCTATAGTTACTTATCAATTTCAGGTATCATGTAAATGCTCCAAAAAGCTTCTGAAAATGTTTATCTGGTCTGGTGATAGTGGAAACTAGGACAATGCTTCCCTGTGTGTTGGTCACAAATCATGCGCATGATATTTACCTTGCTATATATTTGATTATAAAGGCATATGAGTTTGCTTGTGGTTGTGTAAGTACCAGTGTGCTTTCATCACTTTGCAAGGGTGCAAAGCATATGTCCTATTAGTCATCTTAATTTCCCTTCATTTCAATGTGTAGAATTATTTTATTTTATTTTTTTCAAGTTTGGATTGATCACATGCAAGTTCATGAATCTTTTGTCTTTGTTGGTTGGCTTATCAGGTTCCAAACAAGCTGCAACAATCATTTTCATTCTGGAACAAAGGTGGACAAAAACCCGAGTTAGTTCCTCCCCTGTGCGTTGATCGCGTCAGTAATGTCAAATCAGTTGATTCAGTAAGTTTCCGTCCTTTGATTGGCCTGAAGGGTAGCTTGAAGGCTGTGGGCAAGACACAATGGAGAGTTAAGGCAATAAGCTCTTTGTCTCAGACTCGGTCACGTTTATTGGCTTCTCCAAATTCCAAAAGCAACTTAAAGGAGCCTGGAGTGAGTGGTGACGTGTGGTTGCATGCGGCACCAGAGAGAGATTTAGACAGCATATTGTCGTTGCATTCATCAATGTATAATTACAAAGAACATAGAGGGACTCTTTGATGATCATTATCCTCTCCATTTTTATCCAAATATCCAGAGAGGTTCACATCAAATCCAAGTTTTGAGTGGTATGGGGTTGGAGAATTTGTTCAATTCATGAAGGCTGTTATTATTGTTTTATAGGCCTTTCTATACCAACAACGTTGGAACTGCTGATAGAATGGTTGAATCCTGTTTCGTATTTGCATTTCCTTTTTTCTTTTTGGGTAGTTGCATTTAAGCGTTTCACTATTTTACACAAGGGAAATATTACTCTTTTTTTACATGAGGTAACTTATCTCATCTTCTCTCACTTTGATTTTCGCACCCCACTTATTTTTTCTTTTTCTTTTTTCTTGTAATGGTAGGATTCACCCATTTTCTCTCTACCACATAAGATAACTATCTTATGTGGAAGGAGATTAATAAAACCCTTTACACAATACTCAAATAGGAAAATTTCAAAGGCATAAATTGAAACTTAAACAACTAATCTAAGATCTTGGACCACACATTTTGAATTCTAATCTTTGTTTATTAAACTACATATATATCTTATGTTTGTGTTATAAGATTGATAACATAAAGGCTATATTAAAATTTTAATTTCGTAATGTTTTCTTTCCTTCTATTTTATTTTTTATCTCCTAACTTAGGGAATGAGAATTCCTTTGAACTTTTTCACATAAACATCCAAACAATCCTTCTCCCCCAAAGGCCCAAACATGATAAAGAAGGTGTCACGTGCCCGTTACTTCTTGTTGCTTTCCGTTTGAAAAGTTGGTGCTAAACAGCAATAGTGCATTACTCCTCCTCTTAATGAAAGCCATTTAATTCTTTCAAAAGTAAAGAGTAAACTTCCAAGTTTTGAATAGCTCAAGAGTCCAGACACGAAAGAGTTGCTTTTCGCCGTTAACATCATTCTTTGCAAGCAACTTATACGTTGACACAACTAGTGTATGACACCTTAAACGTGAAGGACCACTTGTCACATTCGACCATATTAATAGAGAAGGCGATGCATGCATGGGCGAGCTATCCAATACCCACGATATAGGAGTGATGGCTCATCCATTGCATCAATTAAGGAGAGCGACAAGAAAATCCAAATCCATCCAAATTTATTTACATATTGAATATTCACTACTCAAAATCTTTATTCAACTAAATTTATTAAACTACTATAGTGGTAAAGTAACTTTACCACTATAGTAGTTGCTAGTTGCTGCATTGTGTAAATGATCAACTCTCACACGACCTTTATATTTTTTATTCAGTTTGTTATGCTATCATATAAAATATTTAATTATTTATTATCAAGTTGTCAAAAGTTAAATTATTGACGCCTTCATTCTTTATAATATAGACTTAATAACAGTGTTTTAAAACTCGGACCGGTCATCGAACCGGTCGAAGTACTGGGTTATTGGATCACTAGTTCAACCGGGTTGAACCGGTTTTACTGTTCACATATTAAAAATATAAAAATATTACTTATATTAATAAAAATTCACATAAGAAAACTATCTATGAGGTTCAAAAAATAAATTGGTTTCAATGATAGCAAATATTATATACTTCTAAGCTTCTAGCTCTAGACCGTTGAGATGAGATCATGAGACCATCAGTGTTAATCACCACTTAACTTCACGAGATCATTATAAGATGCAACTAAATTACATAAACGAACTACACTAATCTAAAATACCTTATTATTTTCACCTTACTTTGAATCATATTCATCATAAAATATGAATATGATTTAATTCAAGAGTTCTTATCAACAAAAAAAAAATTTACCAAAAAAAAAAAAAATCGGTTTAACCCGAGTCAACCGGGTCGCCGGGTTTCGGCCGGGTCAACCGGTCCAATCCGGGCTGACTGCATAACCGGTCTAACTACCCGCTCGGACCGGGGAACCCACCGGGTCACCGAGTCCCGGGTCGACCCGGCCAGTCCGAGCTGGGTTTTAAAACACTGCTTAATACAGTAAAATAGATATGTGCAATATTGTATTGTTAAATTCTTACGATACAGTGGATTAAAAAAGGGGAATATGTTTCTAGATAATTTATTTTATGCAATGCATACAAAAGTAAATGGGATCCACTAAAAAAGAAAAAGAGAAATGAAAAAAGTGAGTTTCATCCATTTTTTATGTGTGGCACTAGACAAGAAACGTATTTCCCTTAATACTAAAACACCAAACAGCTTAAAAATTTTAACAAGAAAAGTTATTTACTGCACCTCATAACCCATTATGATAGGTTTTCCCTGCAACTAGATTGTATAATGACCCTCACATTTAATTATAGATTTAATATGGAAGGATAATTATAAAGAAAAAGAAATAAAGTCACATTTGGTGAAAAATGAGTTAAAATGACAGTTAAGGGGTAAAAATGCGGGTAAACAAAGTTATCCGAAAAGTGAAAGTAAAGTTAAAAATATGCCTGGAAAAATATTCTAGTTCATTGGGTAAAGTTTGGTATTGAATGGAGGTGTGTAGATAGATAAGTTGTTACCCAGTTAAAGTAACTTAACCTATTTGACTCTAAAACACAGTGACCTTGTTCATTTGTTCTCCGTCCCAGTACGCGTTCGTCTCCATTTTTTTTCATGCTAGGTTTTCTTTTTTTATTTTTTTTTATTTCTCTCTCCACACTCAACCAAATCCTTAAGTCCATCACATGAAATTTATAGTAAATCATCCAATGAATCCATCCCTCCATTTATTTTAGGCTGAAAATGCTTGTGTAAAAAGTTCTCCCTTTCCCCTTTTGCGAATCACTATTAATCAAAGAGAAGAAATTGGAGTTTTGGTGGAGCTTTGCTTGGAAGTTGTCCTCTAGGCTTTGTATAAGGGATTAGAGGTAATAAATCTCTATTTTCATGGTTTTATTTTGTGAATTAAGTCTTGAAAGTTTTAAGCATGTTTTGGTAGGAAATAATTTAGTTTGGAATTTGAAATTGATGAGTTGGAAAATGAAAATGACGTGAAAATTGTTGAAAGAAGCCTTGGTCCCCTTTATGAGTACCCACGACCTTATGAAGGAAAATGGCATGAATTATGTTGAAAATTCTCAAGTGGCTACTTAGTAAATTTAGGGAACGTTAATTATTATAAAATGGGAAATGAAACGAAATTTGTAAAGGCATGGTCTTGACTTGTAAATTGGTATAGGATTGGCATAATGTGAGTGAACGAAAGTGAGCAATAAGATGTATGCCTTGTGTAAATTTCATAGCATTACAACATTTTATTGATTTTTGTCTTGATTCCTTCTCTAGGTGTACCTAGGGACTGTGAACGTTTGGATTCTCGTGGATCAAGATAAGTATTTTGTTCTTCAAGTAAGCAAATTGTAAAGCTCTAAGAGGTAAGCTCTATGTTTATGGGGTTCGCTCCTACTTTGTGTTCCGCCATAGTGTACGGACTGTGGTCATGTTGTATGATATGTATGAGATATATGATATAGATGCATTCATATAGAGCTATATGATAATATGATATGTTTTGTCTTGATGGGTGTACTTTGATATGTGTTAATATGATATGTTTTATTGAGTTCCGCTTGGGGTCCACCCTTGAGAACACGTACACTGATTCTCACTTGGGGTCCTCCCTTGGGATTGACTGTGTACACATTTGTTATATGACTTGTTCTGATATGATTTCTGTATTGATCTTTGGCTGGGATTGACTTGTATGGTACACTGATGTCTTCTTGGATTCCTCTGAGATTGACAGTGCACGCCTCTGATATGTTCTGGTTCCGCTTGGGGTCCTCCCTTGGGAACACGTGCGTTGATTTCCACTTGGGGTCCTCCCTTGGGAATGACTGCGTACGTCTCTAATATGTTCTGGTTCCGCTTGGGGTCCTCCTTTGGGAACACGTGCGTTGATTTCCGCTTGGGGTCCTCCTTTGGGAATGATTGCGTACGCCTCTGATCTGTTCTCGTTCCGCTTGGGGTCCTCCCTTGGGAACACGTGCGTTGATTTTCGCTTGGGGTCCTCCCTTGGAAATGACTGTGTACGCCTCTGATATGTTCTGGTTCTGCTTGGGGTCCTCCCTTGGGAACACGTGCGTTGATTTCCGCTTGGGATCCTCCCTTGGGAATGACTGCGTACGCCTCTGATAAGATTTGTATATATGTTTTGCTCAGTGAAGATATGTTTTGGTTGGGGTCATCCCTAGGGATTGACTGTGTACATATCTGATATGTTGTTGTTTCCGCTTGGGGTACTCCCTTGGGGAACACGTACGTTGAATTCCGCTTGGGGTCATCCCTTGGGAATAACTGCGTACGTCTCTGATAAGATATGTGTATATGTTTTGTTTAGTTATGATATTGGATTATATGACATGTTTTATGTGATATGTATGATGATTTTGTAAATGATATTTGTTACGTACGTTGATTTTCGCTTGGGGTCATCCCTTGGGAACGATTGCGTACGTCTCTGATATAACATGTTTTGTTCTGATGTAAGTATTGTGATGATGTTGTAAATGATATTTGTTACGTGCGTTGATTTCCGCTTGGGTTCATCCCTTGGGAATGACTGCGTATGTCTTTGATAAGATATGTATATATGCTTTGTTCAGTTATGATAATTGCTTATATGATGTTTTGTATATTATGTATCTGACTGTCATGCAGGAAGTGAGCCCAGGGTATGGAGAGTTTTCCATAAACCTGGAGTTTACTAGAGATTCGTCTCTAACCCCATTTGGGGATATGATTTCAGGAACACAGTTAATTGAAGAGCCTCATGGGACAAGGACACTAACTGTGGCTAGAGGTACTAGTATGAGGATGTGGAGTTCTGGGTGGCTGGAGGCTACAATTTATTTTAGACGTATTTTTGGAAAAGATGTATTGTTGTATAGTGTTCATATTCGATGCATGTACATTTGTGTATTCAGGCATGTTGATATGACTATGTAGTATTCAGTTATGTTATGTATTGGATTGCATGCTATTAGATTAGTGGCACGAAGCCAAGTTCTGCATGCGCTCATGGATGTATATCTGAGTATATTTGCATAACTGGTACTTCTGGATATATATATTGTTTAAACTGTCTATCAGGAACTCTTGAGAGTGGGATTGGAAGATCCCCAGTTGTCCAATTTACAGAGGTTACTCTGTCCGATTTTCGTTTACGCCTAAGGAGAATTAAAAGGGAAAAAGAAAAAGTTAGCTCGTATTTTCGTAAGTTTAAGTCTTCCGCTGTTTCTGTTAAGTATTATATGTATGTTAATTGAACCGACTCGAA